CCCAGGTCAAGCCATGTGGCACCAATTCTGTATACACTGGTCACTCAATCATGTATACATTTAAGAGCACTGGCTGGGCACGGAGGCTCACACCTGTAATCCCAGCACTTTGGGAAGCCGAGGTGGATGGATTACCTGAGGTCGGGAGTTCGAGACCAGCCTGGCCAATATGATGAAGCCCTATTTCTATTAAAAATACAAAAATTAGCCAGGCATGGTGGCGGGCACCTGTAATCCCAGCTACTTGGGAGGTTGAGGCATGAGAATCGCTTGAACCTGAGAGGCAGAGGTTATAGTGTGCCGAGATTGAGTCACTGTACTCCAGCCTGGGTGACAGAGTAAGACTCTGTCCCAAAAAAAAAAGCAACAACAATTAAAAAAAAAACACAAACAGCGCTATTTACCAGATGCTATTTAAAGCACTTTACAAAGATGAAGACATTTAACCTCACAACCTTATACTATTATTATACCCATTTAATAGATGGAGAAACTGAGGCACCAAGATTAAGTAATTTGCCCCAAGGTCACATAGCTGCAGACTGGGATTCAAACTCAAGCTGTCTAGTTCCAGAGACTGTGCTTTTTTTTCCCATCCCCCCCACCAAGAGACAGGGTCTCACTCTGTCCCCCAAACTGAAGTGCAGTAGCACAACCATGGCTCACTGCAGGCTGGAACTCCCGGGCTCAAGGGATCCTCCCACCTCAGTCTCCCAATATGTTGAGATCACAGGCATGAGCCACCGCACCCACCCAGCTAGAGACTGTGCTCTTATCCCCTAAGTGATTGTTCTACTTTTTATTATTCGTTTTCCACCCTTAACTCCCTTCCCCAGCTGGTTAGGGAAAGTGAAGTTCATTCTGGGTAGGAACGGCTGTAGTGGGGACAAAAGGAATTAAGGTGTTTTCTTTTCTTTTCTTTTTTGAGACGGAGTCTCTGTCGCCCAGGCTGGAGTGCAGTGGCACAACCTCCGCTTCCCAGGTTCAAGTGATTCTCCTGTCTCAGACTCCCAAGTAGCTGGGATTACAGGCGCCGCCCGCCACCCCGCCCAGCTAATCTTTGTATTTTTAGTAGAGACGGGGTTTCCCCATGTTGGCCAGGCTGGTCTGGAACTCCTGACCTCAGGTGATCCACCCGCCTTGGCCTCTCAAAGTGCTGGGATTACAGGCGTGAGCCACGGCGCCCAGCCAAGTTATTTTCTAGTTTAGGAAAAGTTTGGGGTTGAGGATGAGGGAATAGGCCATGAACTCCTGGATCAACTGGGGCAACTGCTTCCAGCCTCCTATAGTGGGGGTGTGAAAAGAGACTGGTGAGAAAGCCAGAGGAAACCGCTTCCTAGGGCGCCCTTAGATCCTCCTCCTCTTCCCCAGTCTCCCTCCCCACCCAGCCCCAATAAGCCCTATTCTTGGCCCGGAGGTTACTCAGCAAACCCCAAAGGAAAGGCAGAGCCTTGGCTGGGGAAGACAGATAGGGAGGAAGAGAAAGAGGAGGGAAAGGAAGGGTTGGAGGGTGCTGCGAGAGGGAGAGGCGGTCAGATGCTAGAGACAGAGAGGACCGTGGAAGAGAAAAATAGAAAGGGAGAGAAAATAGTCGCAGAGACAAAAACCATGCGTGGACAGAGAGACTAACGGAGACGAAAAGAAAGAGGCAGATGGGGACACACGTGCGAGAAGAGACACATGTGCATTTGTTGGGGAGAAGAGGATTGGAGGTGCCAGTGTTAAAGGAGCCTCTACAACGAAGGTGAAGCACGGAAGATAAGGCAAGGCTGAGACTTGGGTGCAGTGTGCGCGTCATTGGGCTGGAGCCGTAAACTGGCGCAAGAATGGGCCGGCGACCGGCAAGCCCACACCGCCCAAAAGTCAGTGAAACCTAAGGGATCTTTCCCAAAGCTCTGAACCACGCAGGACGCCTGGGTCCTCGCATGGATGGACGGGGCCGGCTCAGTGGGAGCCCCGCCCGTAGCTGGGGTGAGGAGGGCGGGAGGCGCCGCAGCCAGGAGGGCGGGGACCAGACCTGCCCCGTCTCGCCCCGGGCTCCGCGCGCGATCCCCGCCCCCGCCGGGGGCATGGGAAGGAAAGGGAAGGGAGGAGAGTGAGGCGGCCGGACGCTGGGGTTTCCCCAGCCACCTCGAGAGGAACTGGGGCTTTGGGGTCCAGACTGCCAGCATTTAGCGCAGCGGGGTCCTCCTGCCCCTTGGTGGAAGCGCAGGCTCCTCCCCCCGCGCGTGGCACCCACGTGGGGCTTTCTCACTCCTCCCAGCTTGGTTTTCTCACCTCGGTCTCGTAGAGTCACTCCCCACCCAGCACTTCCCCTGCGGCTGGACTCCGCTCAGCCCATTCCCCTGCATCCTGCGGCGAGTGGCGGGACGGGCGGGGGGCGCTCAGTGCTCGCGGCGTGGATGGCGCTGGGTATCTCTCCTCCGCCCCGCTCACACCACCTTTCCCACGCTTGTCTCCCCTCTCGGTAAAGCTCTTCCCATGACCCAGGATTCTAGGTCTTCTGGAAGCTCAATTCCTCCTCTGGGCTCCCCACTCTGTCCCTCACATCCCCGTGTGAAACACCGAGGACACCTCTGCATCCCGGGCACACTCCTGGGTCTCCGCTCCTCTCCCGCTTGCCTCCTCCTTCCAATAACCTCCCGTCCCTTTCTCCCCACATTTATCACACCCACCTCTGTTTCTCTTTCTACGACTCTCCCCCACCCCCGCATCCCGCGTGTTCCTCGCAGCCTCTGGAAATGGGTCCGCTCTCACTTTTCTCGCACCCCCTAGGGTTGCCTTCATCCAGCTTTTCTGTCCTTGAATCTTTCCACCTCAGGACCCCCAAGCTCTGGGTCAACTTGCCCCAGTGCCTCTCCTTTCCCAAATGCTGAGGTCTTCGCTTCTCCCACACCGGGCTCCCCTCTCCCCCCTCTCCTACCCCACGACCCCCTCCCCAATTCAACGCGTCCTGGAGGAGGGAGCCTTCTACCGTCCCCCTATTGCTTCTATCCCTCTAGGGCACTACCCCCACGACCCCGCATGTTTCTGTCGCCCTCTAGAAGCGGTCCACTTCGCTATCTCCTCCTCTCCAAGACCAGATACCTGGGGGGTAGGGGACTCAGTGCCATCCTCTTTCGGACACCCCCCTCCCACCATCCCACGTTCCCTTTGCCCCGGGGGGTCCTCTTCCTCCAGCCAGTTTCCTCTGCCAGTCACTTCCTACCCGGGGCCCCGGCACTCCGGCGCCCCCTGGGGGCCCCCCTCCCGGCTCCCCTGCCCCTCCGAGCTCACCGTTGTGGGTTTCCACCATTAGCACGCGGGTGACCTCCTTGGCGTAGTAGTCGGCCTCCGGTTCGGGTTCCGGCTCCGCACTCTCCCCGGCCACCCGGTCGCGGGTGCTGTTGTACAGGGCGAGCACGGCCTCGGGCAGCGGGCCGGGCGGCACCTCCCCCTGGCTCGGGGGGCTGGCGAGCCGCAGCTTGGACAGGATCTGGCCACGGATGGCCTCGATGCGCTTCCGCTTCACCAGCTCCATGTCGATAGTCTTGCAGGTGGATAGTCCCGCGGCCGGCCGGCCAGGCGTCAGCACCAGTAGCCACAGCAGCGGTAGCAGCAGCGGCAGCAGCCGCAGCCCGGAGGGCGGCATGGGGGAGGCGGCGCCCCCCGGCACTGCCGAGAGGGCGAACAGGGCTAGCGTGGTGGGGAGGCCCCGCCCCTGCAGGGGCTGGGGGTCTCCCGGGAAAAGGTAGGAGGGCCTCGAGGGAAAGTTGAGGTCCTCAGGGAGAAGGGCGCAGTGGTGGAGGGGAGGCTTGGACCGGGGGTGTCTCAGTATCCCACGGAAATAACCTAGATGGGCGAGATCTGGTACCAGAAGGTGGGTGGTCTTGAATAGGGGATCTGTGGCAGGTCGGAGAGAGATCCGTCTCCTGGAGGAGAAAAGGTCTAGGATGCGCGGGGGCTCAGGAGACAGGCCGGGGATGAAGGCGGCGTGCAGGGGGTGCGCCCGAGGTCTGGGGAAAAGTATTTGCGGGAGGCCGGGTCGGCGACTCCCGAGGGCTGGTCCGGAATGGGGGCGCCTGAGGGACGCCGTGTAGGGGGCAGGGAGGGAGCAAGCGTCCCCGGCGGCAAAGGGAGGCGGTCTGGGGTCCCCAAGTCCTGCCTCCTCGCGGGGCAGCGTCGCGCCAAGAGGTCCCCGCGCCTCCGGCTCCCAGCGGCAACGGAAAAGTCTCAAAAGTTTTTTTCCTCTTCTCCCGACCAGCTCGTCCCTCCTCCCGCTCCTCCTCCCCCTCCTCCCCGCAGTGGCGGGGGCGGCGGCGGCTCGTCTCAGACTCTGGGGCCTCAGGCTGCTCCTCGGCGACTCCTTCCTCCGCTCCGGGCCGAGGCCGGCCCCGCGGGCGGCTCAGAGCCGGGGGGGTGCCCCGGACGGGGCGTCCCCCCTGCCCCCGGCCGGGGCCCTCGCAGTCTGGCTGATCCGCGGAGGGAGGTGGGAGGGAGATGGCCCAGGGCGCGAAGGGCGGCGGCGGCGGGGACCGGCTGGGTCGGCGGGGGGTTTTGAAGCCGCCCCAGCCCCACCCAGGAAGCGCACGGGGCGGGAGCGCGGGCGGCCCCCAGGGGGAGGGCATGGGGGGGCTGGGCCACAGTCCTCATCTCGCGTGGGCGGGCTCTGAGGGGGGTCCCTTCAGCCCTGGGGGAAAGGGGCGGGCACCCCGGCTCCGCCCCGCAAACAGGGTGCTGCCTCCTGGCGGCCAAGAGCCACCAAAGCAGGTGATCCAGATGCGCTGTGGCTTTGCGGGCGGTGTGGGTCACCAGAAAAAGAGGACCAGGCGAAGGCTTAATCCGCGGGATGAGACACAGGGGAGCCGACCAGAGGAGGGGGACCCAGAACGGGAGGACAGTGTGAGGCTGGCACACAGGGTAGGGGAAGAGGGTCTGTCAAGATGGGGGCATCCGGAGGGTGTCAGTGGGAGGAGGGGGCAACAGGACACCTGAGGGATGGAAGGGTCAGGAGGCAGACACCGGTAAGAATTGCTCTCCTTTACTGAGCACCTCCCATGTGGCTAAGCAGCCTCTTGTCATCCAACATCCTGCGACCCCATACATTTACTCTCCCCAATTTACAGGTAGGGAAACTGGGCCCAGAGGGACCCAGAGGTCCTAGCAAGGACAGGAGTCCTTAGCTGGGGTCCAGCTCTGATGGTCTCCAGAGTCCGTGCTCCTGACCACTGTGCCTCACTGGGTGTCCAGGGTGTGGATGGTGGTGGCGTTGGAGACAGGGTCCCTCAGCACTCAACGCCATAGCGGTCGAAGTTGCGGAGCAGCAGGCTGATCTCCAGGTGCACGGTGCCACCAGCAGCTGTGTGCAGGCGATAGCGGTCGGCCCCACTGTAGATGGTGTCCCCATGCAGCAGCTGTGGCCCACCACCCACGAAAGCCCGTGCCAGCTGCTCTCGCCAACTGCCCAGGGGCCGCCAGGTGGGGCAGGCCAGCTGGTGTGTGCCCGGGCTGCTGGGCACATGGCAAAATCCATAGCCTGCAAGCTGGCAGCGGCCAAAGCTGTCCTGGGACCACACCTGGAAATGGAGCCGGGGCCAGCCTGCAGGAAAGCAGGGAGAGGGGAAAGGAGGGATGGGTGGTGACCAGACTCCTGCTCCTGATTCCCCCCTCCCTGATACTCACCGGAGACCCCAGGCCCAGTCCTTTCCTTTCTGGGTTTCTGTCCCAGGGTTTCCAACCCAGCCTCCTTTCTAGACTCCCATCTTCTCATCTATCCCCACACAACTGCCAGAGATCTTTCCAAATCCATGTTACTCCCCTGCTAAGGATCCTTCCATAGCTCCCCAGTGCCCTCACTATAAAGTCCAACCTCTTCAACATTCAAGGCCCTTCTAATCAGACCTCTGCTGAATTTCCTCTCTGTGTTATCCTCCTCCATGACCCCATGTCAGGGCAGCCCATTGCTCCTCCAGTCCCCAGGTAACCATCGTGGGTCTTGTCAGGGTCACCTCCTGCCTTCCCTCCTCATGTTCCTAACCTGCTCTCTTTGGGCCCAGGGCCTTCTTTCTTGCCCCTCTCTAATCCACCTTCCACCTGGCATCTGGAAACATCTTTCCTTCCATAGCTTTGCCCATGTCCTCAGAACACAGTTCAGCTCCTCAGTCTAGTAGTCAAAACCCTTGGAGATCCAGCTCCATCTCATCTCATCTCATGCTGACCCCTTCCCCTGTGCCAGGCCCTGTTCTAGCTAGCTGGGGACACGGCGGACATGAACATGGATGGCAGACAAAAATTCCTGCCCCCGTGAAGCTGATATCCTAGACAACAAATGTAGTAAATAAGCAAATTATACGTTAGATCGGATGGTGGTAATTGCTGTGGAGAAAAACAGAGCTGGGTAGGGTGAGGGTGGGGATATGGCTGTAGAAGGGGATCAAGGAAGCTTCACTAAGAAGGTGACATTTAAGCAAATGCTAAAAGGAAGGAAGGGAGTAGGCCATGTGGCCATCTAGAGGAAGAGTGTTCCCAGCCAGAGGGAACAGCAAGTGCCAGGGCCCTGAGAGGGGAGTGTCTGGTGGGGACGGCATGGCCGGAGCCCCGACAGAGTGTGCCTGGTGGGGATAGCATGGCTAGAGCAGAATGAGGTGAGGAGAAGGGAAGGAGGTGCCAGCCAGGTTGCGGAGAGCCTTGTGATGCATGCTAAGACTTTGGCTTTTACCCTGAGTGAGATGGGGACGACTGGAGGGTTCTGAGCAGAGCGGAGACAGGACCTTAGGTGTTCACAGGGTTCCAGCTGCATGTGGGGTGCAGATTAGCGGGGGTTGGGGAAGGGGGCCCCAGAGAAAAGATTACTGTCATAGTCCAGGTGAGAGATGAACTTGGACAGATCAAGATGCTGGGCGAGAAAAGGGTGAGAAGTGGGATTTAGGGTGTATTTCAAAAGTAGAGGCAGTAAGATTTCCTAATGGACAAAATGGGGGCTTGAGAAAAGAGAGAGCAAGGCTGGTGCCACCACTGGGGAACCGGAGGCCCCAAGAGCTGAAAGATTAGAGCTGCCCACCTCACCCGCACAGCACCGGAAAGTTTTTCTTTCCCCAGCTCCAGCTTAAAGGACAGAAAGATTATTTAAGAGTGAAATCTCGGCCAGGCGCGGTGGCTCACACCGATAATCCCAGCACTTTGGGAGGCCGAGGCAGGCGGATCACCTGAGGTCAGGAGTTCGAGACCAGCCTGACCACCATGGTGAAATGCCATCTCTACTTAAAAGAAAAAAAAAAAAAAGGCAAAAATTAGCCAGGTATGGTAGAACACAGCTGTAGTCCCAGCTACTCATGACGCTGAGGCAGGAGAATTGCTTGAACCCAGGAGGCGGAGGTTGCAGTGAGCTGAGATCTTGCCACTGCATTCCAGCCTGGGTAACACAGCAACACTGTCTCAAAAAAAAAAAAAAAAAAAAGTGAAATCTCACTTGTCCATCACCTGCTCTGGCTCCCAAGTGCCTTCAGGAGATGGCCTCAGCTCCTCAGCCTGGCACTCGAGGTCCTGCATGAACTGTCCCCTGCTACCTTTCCCTGCTGCCGTCCCGCTCTCCCTCAGTGCGCTAGACACCCTTGGTTCACTCTCCCCTTTGAGTCTTCCACATGTAGCTCCCTCTGCCTAGAACCTTCTTCTATCCCTCTGCCTTATTAGCTTCCACTGGCCCTTCACAGCAAAGCGCAGAAGCCCCCTCCTCCAGGAAGCCCTCTGTGACCTCCCTGACAGAGTCAGGCACTTCCTGTGGGCTCCCACGGCCTCTCCAAATTGCCTATCTTAGTCCTGCCCACTCAGGTGCCACTGTCTGGAGAGAGGCGTGTCCCCTCCATAGGATGGTGAACTCTGTGAGGAGAAGGCTAAGGGGCACTGCCTTGATCCCCAGTGTCTCCCTGGCATCACCCAACACAGGCTGGACACAGGGCAGGCACCAGGTAAACATTCTTTATATTGGTGAAATATACGGCACATTTACCTAGGCAATTTCTCAGAATCGACTCATCTTCAGGAACCCACATTTCCTACCAAAAGGTTTTCTGATGCCGCTCCTCCCCCAGTACTGATTTCCCCTTTGAGCAGTGGCTCTACTTTCAAGCCGAGGAGCCCCTTCCTGGAGAAACAGCCCTTGCCTCTCAGACCCTGCCTCCCGGCTTCCTCTTTATTGGAAACTCTCGGTTTGTCTCTTTACTTGAATGCCACCTTCCCTCCCACCCTGACCCCCACCTTCCCATCTCCCGCTCCACCCTGGACTCTGCCCTAATCCTACAAACTTGGGATCGCCTATTGAGCAGGCCTGGGAAAGTCTTAGCTCAGCCTCTCCAGGGCCAGCTTGCTGCAAAAGGGACCCACGTGGTATGGGGAGCAGGGACAGGTCTTGGTGTTCCCAGACCGAGGGGCCTCAGAGGCTACTCGTCCCCTCCCCTCAGCCTGGCCCCGGGACCAGGTGTGGTACCCACCTTGAAGACCTTTGGTGGCGAAGTGCAGATCGATGGGGTGGGACCAGTAGGCCATGTCCCCTATCTGGGGGGTGTCCACCTGCGTTTGGCCCTCCCGCACGCCTGACAGGAGCTTCCACGCCGCCCCTGCAGTGACAGCGGGGACATAGAGGGGTGGGAGGCAGCCACTGGGAAGGGAATGCCACTGTGGCTATAGGACTGTTGCTCTGTGGCATCTACTGGTAGGGGTTATGAAGCGTGGACTCTGGAACCAAGTATCTGGGTTCAAATCCTGGCACTACCTCTTCCTGCCTCTGCAACCTTGGGCAAGTCATCTATGACTTGGTCTCCCCATCTATAAAAAGGGCTAATAATGCATTCCCCATTGTCTTCATTTGTTTTCTGTTACTCTTAATATTCGAAACTGGGTAATTTACAAAGAAAAGGAATTTCTATCTCACAGTTAAGGGAGACTGACCAAGGTGGAGGGGCCCCATCTGGTAAGAGCCTTCTTGCTGGGGGAACTCTCTGAAGAGTCCCAAGGCTAGTGTGCTAACATGCCACTCACATCTCTCTCTCATTTTATAAGGCCATCAGTTCCTCTCCCGTGATAACCCACTAATCCATTAACCCATTAATCCATGAATGGATAATGAGCATAGTGAGCACGGGTAAGTCTTCAATATCATTTTATTACTATTTGCACCCCACATTTACAAGCCTAGTCCAAGGATTAAGAGGAGGTCAAGGGTACCCTCCAGGAGCACATCCTGAAACACACATAACAATTTCGATCCTACTGTGATAATGATAGCTAAAATGCACTGAGTGGTCAGACACAGTGGCTCACACCTGTAATCCCAGCACTTTGGGAGGCCAAGGCAGGCAGATCGTTTGAGTCCAGGAGTTCAAGACCAGCCTGGCCAACATGGCAAAACAAATAATATACAAATTAAGGCTGAGCACGGTGAGCATGGTGGCTCATGCCTGTAATCCCAGCACTTTAGGAGGCTGAGGCGGGCGGATCACCTAAGGTCAGGAGTTCAAGACCAGTCTGGCCAACATGGCAAAACCTCGTCTCTACTAAAAATACAAAAATTAGTCTGGAGTGGTGGCAGGTGCCGGTAATCCCAGGTACTCAGGAGGCTGAGGCACGAGAATTGCTTGAATCTGGGAGGGAAAAGTTGCAGTGAGCCGAGATTGCACCATTGCACTCCAGCTGGTGTGACACAGTAAGATTCCATCTCAAAAAATGAACAAACAAGCCGGGTGCAGTGACTCACGCCTGTAATCCCAGCACTTTGGGAGGTTGAGGCGGGCAGATCACCTGAGGTCAGGAGTTTGACACCAGCCTGGCCAACATGGCGAAACCCTGTCTCTACTGAAAATACAAAAATTAGGATGGGTGCAGTGGCTCATGCCTGTAATCCCAGTACTTTGGGAAGCCAGGGCAGGTGGATCACTTGAGGTCAGGGGTTCGAGACCAGCCTGGCCAAAATGGCGAAACTCCATCTCTACTAAACACACACACACACACACACACACACACACACAAATTAGCCCCAGGTATGGTGGCGCACGCCTATAATCCCAGCTACTCGGGACGCTGAGGTAGGAGAATCGCTTGAATCCAGGAGGTGGAGGTTGCAGTGAGCTGAGATCGCACCACTGCACTCCAGCCTGGGCAACAGAGAAAGACTCTGTCTCAAAAACTAACTAACAAACAAACAAAAACCCAAGCCAAACCAAGCCAAGCAAAGAATATAAAAATTAGCCAGGTATGGTGGCTCATGCCTGTAGTACCAGCTACTTAGGAGGCCAACGTGGGAGGATCACCTGAGCCCAGGGAAGTTGAGGCTGCAGTGAGCCATGATTGTGCCACTGCACTCCAGCCTCAGCGACAGAGGAGCCCCTGTCTCAAAAAAAAAAAAAAAAAAAAATCAAAGAAAGAAAGAAATTGTACTGAGTATGGCCGGGTGTGGTGGCTCATGCCTGTAATCCCAGCACTTTGGGAGGCCGAGGCAGGCAGATCATGAGGTCAAGAGATCGAGACCATCCTGGCCAACATTCTGAAACTCTGTCTCTACTAAAAAAAATAACAAAAATTAGCTGGGCATGGTGGCGCACGCCCGTAGTCCTAGCTACTCAAGAGGCTGAGGCAGGAGAATCGCTTGAACCCAGGAGGCGGAGGTTGCAGTGAGCCAAGATGTTCCCATTGCACTCCAGTGTGGGCAACAAGAGTGAAACTCCATCTCAGAAAAAAATAAGAAAATACACCGAGTACTTACTAAATCCCAGATGCTATGCTAAGCACTTTAGGCAATGCATTCATTTAATTCACCCTCTAGGACTCTTAATTCCCTCCTCACTCCCCAGTTTACACTCTCCACCATGGCCCACATGGCCTGGCTCTTGCTCCCGTCCCTGAGTTCATCTCCCATCACTCTCCCCATCCCTCATCAGTCTCTGGCCTCACTGTCCCACTTCTGTCTTCCCACCTCAGGGCCTTTGCACTGGCTGTTCCCTCTGCCTAGAAAGCTCTGCTCCTGGATGTCCCCATCCCTAGCTTTTGTTTTCATCCTTCAGGGCCCAGCTCAAGTGCCACTTCCACAGAGGGGTTCTCCCTGACCCTCTTCTCCAAACACTAGTTTCTGTCACATCTTTTCTTTTCATCCTAGCACTTACCACTGTCTGTAATCACGGTGCTGCTTTCTTTTTTTTTTTTGAGGAGGAGGAGACAAGATCTCCCTCTGTCACCCAGGCTGGAGTGCAGTGGCACAATCACAGCTCACTGCAATCAACCTCCCAGGATCAAGCAATCCTCCCACCTCAACCTCCCGAGTAGTTGGAACCACAGGCACACATCACTATGCTCTGCTAATTTGTGATTTCTTTGTAGAGACGGGGGTCTCACTATGCTGCCCAGGCTGGTCTCAAACTCCTGGGCTCAAGTGATCCTCCTGCTCCAGTCTCCCAAAGTGCTGGCATTACAGGGGTGAGTCACCACACCCAACTGCACTCGTTTATCTGTTTCTTTTCTTTTCTTTTCTTTTCTTTTCTTTTTCTGAGACAGAGTTTTGCTCCTGTTGCCCAAGCTGGAGTGCAACGGCACCATCTCGGCTCACTGCAACTTCCACCTCCCGGGTTCAAGTGATTCTCCTGCCCCAGCCTCCCAAGTAGCTGGGATTACAGGCACATGCCACCATGCCCAGCTAATTCTTTGTATTTTTAGTAGAAATGGGGTTTCACCATGTTAGCCAGGCTGGTCTCAAACTCCTGACCTCAGGTGATCTGCCTTTCTCAGCCTCCCAAAGTGCTGGGATTACAGGCATGAGCCACCGTGCCTGGCCTGCTTATTTATTTTCTGTCTCCCCTACCATATGGCCCAGGAAAACAGGGACCTTGCACACTGCTGGATCTCCAAGACCACAAACCCAGCTCTTGGTATACAGAAGGTGCTCAATAAATGTTTCTTGGACAAATTAGTGATCCTAGGAGTTGGGAGCTAATATAATCCCCATTTAACAGGTAAAGACACAGGCTCTGAAAAGGTAAGTTCATGAACATTTATTGAGCACCTGCTGTGTGCCAAGCACTGTTTTCCATGCTGGTGACATAGCTGTGACTATAGCAGACCAAGGTCCCATCATGGAACTGGATTCAGACTCAGCTCTAACTGCAGAGCCCAAGCCGTTCATCCAACTGCCTCAGTATTCTTGGCTGGGTCAACACCCCCAGCAACTCCCTGAAGTAATAAAAATCAGGTTAGTCATTACTCCCTTCTGGGCTGAGTGAGGGAAGCACCAGGCCCTCAGTCAGGCTGCTTAAAAGCAAGATTTCCCAACAGCCCTATGAAGAACAGATGAGGAAACTGAGGTTCTAAGAGGGGATGGCATCTGCCCAGGGTCACAGAGAAGGTGAGTGGTGGGGTGGAACCTGGAAACCAAGTCTGACTCCAGAGTCTGCCTCTCTTCCATCAACTGGAGGGTCCTGATTTCCTGGGAATCTCAACTTCTACCTCACTTACCTGTAGAATCAAAAAGGACCAGAGGCCAGGGGCAGTGGCTCACACCTGTACTCCCAGCACTTTGGGAGATCTAGGCGGGCGGATCACTTAAGGCCAGGAGTTCGAGACCAGCCTGGCCAACATGATGAAACACCATCTCTACTAAAAATACAAAAATTAGCTGGGTGTGGTGGTGGACGCCTGTAATCCCAGCTACTCGGGAGGCTGAGGCAGGAGAATCACTTGAACCCAGGAGGCAGAGATTGCAGTAAGCCGAGATCGTGCCACTGCACTCCAGCCTGGCGACAGAGTGAGACTCTGTCTCAAAAAAAAAAAAAAAACGGCCAGGCGCGGTGGCTCACGCCTGTACTCCCAGCACTTTGGGAGGCCGAGACAGGTGGATCACGAGATCAGAAGATCAAGACTATCCTGGCTAACACAGTGAAATCCTGTCTACTAAAAAAAACTAGCCGGGCATGGTGGCGGGTGCCTATAGTCCCAGCTACATGGGAGCCTGAGGCAGGAGAATGGCGTGAACCTGGGAGGTAGAGCTTGAAGTGAGCCAAGATTGCGCCACTGCACTCCAGTCTGGGCAACAGAGAGAGACTCCATCTCAAAAAAAAAAAAAGGGACTAAGACTCAGGCCTGAAGACATGATAATGCCAAATGGCCACATCTGTTTCATGGACATTTATCTGTGCCAGGCAACAACATACCCCAGGCTTTACAAACAAGACCCCATCAAAGTCTTGTATGAGCCAGGCAAACACTGAATGGGCACTTCATATTCCAGCCCTATTCCTATTCTAAGTGCTGTTGATATTTGTTTAGTACTCATGACAACTTCAACAGGTAAATATTTCTATTACTCTCATTGTACAAACAGAGAAGTCGAGGTGAAGAGAAGTGCCCAAGGTCACATAATCAGCCCAAGGGTGCATTAACAAGCAATAACTAGTTTTGAACCCAGGCAGTCTGTGCTCTTAACCTCAAACCTGTGCTGCTTCTTGGCTGCTATTAGCTTCACTTTCAGACAAGGAAACTGAGGCTCAGAGAGGTCAAGTCCAAAGGTCTCCAATTAATAGAAGGGAGAGTTAGTATTTAAATCCAGATCTGGCAGCCCATGGCCCTAACCATTACACTATACCATGACTCTACAAGGCCTCAGTTGGGGAAGCATGAACAAAATTACTTTCCTGGAATGTGGTGGCTCATGTTTTTAATCCAAGCACTTTGAGAGGCTGAAGCGGATGGACTGCTTGAGCCCAGGAGTTTGAGACCAGCCTGGGCAACATAGCGAGACCCTGTCTCTACAAAAAGTTTAAAAATTAGCCACACTTGGTGGTGCGTGCCTGTAGGCCCAGCTTCTCAGGAGGCTGAGGTGGGAGGATCACTAGAGCCCAAGAGTTCGAGGCTGCAGTGAGCTATGATCACACCACCTTACTCCAGCCTGGGCGACAGAGAGAGACCCTGTCCGTAGCCCCTGCACAAACGAAAAAACAGATGGGAGCTTGAGACTCACGTGGACAGGGTGTGGGCTAAGCCTGGAGTACAGAGAGCTGATGGAAGATGAGGTTAAGGCGCTGCGTTAACAGGTCGAGGAAGGAGCATGCAGCCTCTAGGCTAGGGGTCTTGGTGTGGAAATTAACCAGGCCTGGGGGAATACCTGTGTGAATGCCCCACTTGCAGAACAGGCTACTTTCCGAGAAACCGCTGGCCCCCATGATCTGCCCGATCACGTGCACCTCAGCCATGGCCCTGGGATGGGAAAAAATATAATCACAACCCTGTGAGGTAAGTATATTATCTCCATTTGACAGGAGGGGAAACTGAGGCCCAGTAAGTAAAGGGTAGTACTAGGATTCCAAGCTAGCTTCCTCACACCCCTGAGGCTGAGGTCTTGACCACAGATCCTAATTGCCAACCCATGAAAGCCTGGAAAAAATGGGGGGACCCTTGTCTGGGGAACCAGCATTTAACTCTGCTAGGTCTAAAATACCTTCTTTGGGTTCAGGTCGGCGGAAAGCCCCGCCCACGAGCGAAAAGACCCGCCTTCCGCGTCATGTCAGCCACCCCGCTTCCCTCACCCAGCAAGCTCTATAAGGCGCATGCGTTGAGTTCCGGGCCGACTTAGCCACGCCTCCAAGCGCAGCGCATGCGTTATTCCTACCTTAGCGCACTTAACGGTTAGGAGGGGCGAAAGCGGCAACGGGGGTTGTAGTTCATGGGGTTGAGTTGACTCGTTTTTTTCTCCGCGGGCGCCTACCAGGCCTGGCTCGCGCCTTTCCCAGGACCTTCCCGGCTGCGAGAAATGGAATCCGCGATATTCCGCGTCCGCGCTCGCCTTGGGTTCCGTGGTTGTTGCTGGAGCAACAGCAGGCTCCTCCCCTGGCTTTGTACTCGCCCTCCGCGCCACTGATTGGTGCTAGCCGTCCCCGGGAGGCGGGGTGAAACTGTGATGGACATTTTCCTCCTCTCGCTCCATTTTGGGAAAATAGCGTCTCTCCAGCTACGGCAAAGGGTTCCGCCATTTTGGCCGTGGCTAGGAAGCTGCCATGTTGAGTGTGGCTGAGGAAGTTTGAGTGCAGTTTCTCCCAGATGTCCTCTTTACCGAAAAAAGCAAATCCGTAACTGCTCCGTGCTGCGTGAGGACCCCACCGAAGAGCTCTCTATGGTCCGGGATCACAAATCAGAGACTGAACTATGACCAAGGAGGAATTCCTTCCAGGACCTCATGTACATCCCCTACCTCATAACTGGAAAACAAAGCAAAAAAAATCACTCCTCATTCACAGAGAGTGGAGAAATTGGGGAGTGGGTTCTGCTTCCGTTTTAGAGTTCCCCTAGGTTTTTCAAGGACAAGGAAGGAAGTTGGACTTACCCAACTTCTACCAAGCTACTACCAAGTTCACTGTTAAACTGCTTGAGTCTGAGCAAGGAACCGTTGGGGTAGCGAAGAGAAATGAGGAACTGGGATCCCCTTTGCAGAAAATCCTCTTTTCTATTGATTGATTTCTCAATCAAGAAATGGAGATGTCCCTGGATGCCATCATAGATGCCATCATTTCCCACATCAAGCCAGTCATCAGGTCCCATCAAGACTCCATAAAAGGGTTGCACTGTGTAACCCAGGCTGGAGTACGGTGGCTTGATCACAGCTCACTGCAGCCTCTGAACTCCTGGGTTCAAGGGATCCTCCTACCTCAGCCTCCCATGTAGCTGGCATCACACACATGCGCCACCACGGCTGGCTAATTCTTTTTTTTTTTTTTTTTTTAAGAGATGGAGTCCTGCTGTGTTGCTGTGTTGCCCAGCCTTTGTCTTGACCTCCTGGGCTCTAGCTAGCCTCCCAGTTTGCTCTCCCATACTGCCGGGATTACAGACCTGAGCCACCCAGCCAGGCCAATAGACAGGAGTATTTAAAAGCCACCCTTGGCTAGGCTCATGACTGTAATCCCAGCCCTTTGGAAGGCTGAGGCGGGAAGAGCTGTTGAGGCCAGAAGGTCGAGTATAGTGAGACCCCCATCTCTACAAAAATAAAAAACAAAATAATGCATATATCAACTAGTGAAATATTCCATTGAATTGTTTAATATAAATGTTATCCTACTGAAATGTTGCCCCCTCCTTATAATTTTGGATTTTTGTTAGTTTTTTTTTTTTTTTTTGAGATGGAACCTCGCCTTGTCGCCCAGGCTGGAGTGCAGTGGCGCGATCTCAGCTTACTGCAACCTCTGCCTCCCAGTTCAAGCAATTTTCCTGCCTCAGCCTTCCAAGTAGCTGGGACTACAGGCGCACACCACCACACCCAGCTAATTTTGTATTTTTAGTAGAGATGGGTTTTTTATATCTTTCTGGATGCTGTGTGGGTGAGGAAGACAGCTCTAACCTTTCAGCTCTTGGGGCCTCTGGTCCCCTAGTGGTGGCACCAGCCTTGCTCTCTCTTTTCTCAAGCCCTCATTTTGTCCATCAGGAAATCTTAACTGTCTCTACTTTTGAAATGCACCCTAAAATCCACTTCTCACCTCTTTGTCGCCCAACACCTTCATCTGTCCAAGTTCATCTATCACCTGGACTATGACAGGGACCTTGTCTCTGGGGTCTCCTTTCCCAACCCTCCTAGTCTGCAGCCCACATGCATCTGGAACCCTGTGAACACCTAAGTCAGGTCCCATCTGCTCAAACCCCTCTAGTGGTCCCCATTTCACTCAGGGTAAAAGCCAAAGTCTTACCATGCATGACAAGGCTCTCCACAACCTGGCTGGCACCTCCTGCCTCCATTTTGTATTTTTAGTAGAGACAGGATTTCGCCATGTTGGCCAGGCTGGTCTCAAACTCCTGACCTCAGGTGATCCACTCACCTTGGCCTCCCAAAGTGCTGAGATTACAGGCATGAGCCACTGCTCCCAGCTGGGGTCTTCATTCTGAAGGCTCCCATGTATACATGTTAAATAAGAGAAAAAAAAATTACTGTCAACCATAAATAACGAGATTCAGAAAATATCATTGAGGCCGGATTCAGTGGTTCATGCCCGTAATCCCAGCACTTCGGGAGGCCAAGGCGTGTGGATACCCTGAGGTCAGGAGTTCGAGACCTGCCTGGTCAACATATAGTGAAACCCCGTCTCTACTAAAGATATCAAAACTAGATGGGTGTGGTGGCACATGCCTGTAGTGTCAGCTACTTGGGAAGCTGAGGCAGAAGAATCACTTGAACCCGGGAGGCGGTAGTTGCAGTGAGCCGAGATCACACCACTGCACTTCGGCCTGGGCGACAGAGCAAGACTTCTACTCTCTAAAAAGAAAAAAAAGTCCGGGCGCAGTGGCTCACGCCTGTAATCTCAGCACTTTGGGAGGCAGAGGCGGGTGGATCACCTGAGGTCAGGAGTTCGAGATCAGCCTGGGCAACACGGTGAAACCCCGTCTCTACTAAAAATACAAAATTAACTGGGTGTGGTGGCACATGCCTGTAATCCCAGCTACTCGGGAGACTGAGGCAGGAGAATGGCTTGAACCTGGGAGGCGGAGGATGCAGTGAGCCGAGATTGCGCCATTGCACTCCAGCCTGGGCAACAAGAGTAAATCTCCATCTCACCAAAAACAAACAAATAAATAAAAAAGAAAAGAAAAAAAACAAGAAAAGGAAAGAAAATATGATTAACTATAGAGTTTATTCCAGGCTACAAGGCCAGTACATATGTTACAGCGATTTCATTAGTACATCTTGCTATGCTGCAGGGAAGATTGCGTTAACATTCTGTGAGGAGGAGTACTCTTTCTTTCTTCTTTCTTTTTTCTTGAGATAAGATCTTGCTCTGTTACCCAGGCTGGAGTGCAGTGGCACAATCACAGCTCACTGCAGCCTCGAACTCCCAGGCTCAAGCCTCCCACCTAAGCCTCCCCAGTAGCTGGGACTACAGGCGTGTGCCACCATGACCAGCTAATTTCTTAATAAATTTTTCTGTAGAGACGTGGTCTCACCATGTTGCCTAGGCTTGTCTCAAACTCCTGGGCTCAGGTGATCCTCCCACCTCTGCTTCCCAAAGTGCTGGGGTTACAGATGTGAGGCCACAACGCCCGTCCTAGGAGTAATGTTCTGAGGCGATCTTATCTCTGGCACTGCTTGGTCATTCTTAATCATTTACAGGAAAAAGCAGAAGTTGTAACTGCATGCTACGTGACTCAGGCTACAGAGCAACATTCCTCTCAAGGCTCGGAATAATTTAAAGTTCCAGCAGCTTTAAGTTTGAATTATCTAACCACATTGTCGGAAGTTGGCCAGGCCTGGTGGTTCATGCCTGTCTGTAATCCCAAAACATTGAGAGGCCAAAGCAATAGGATCACTTGAGGCCAGGAGTTCTGGACCAGACTGGGCAACATATTGAGACTCCATTTCTACAAAAACATTTAAAATTAGAAAAATAAATAAATAAATAGCAGGGTGTGGTGACACATGCCTGTAGTCCCATCTACCTAGGAGGCTGACACAGGAGGATCATTTGAGCCCAGAAGTTTGAGACTGCAGTGAGCTGTGATCATGCCAAGGTACTTCAGCCTGGGTGACGGAGTGAAAACCTGTCACCTTTTTTTTTGTTGTTTTTTGGGTTTTTTTGAGAAAGAGTCTCGTTCTGTGGGTCAGGACAGAGTGCAGTGGTGGGATCTTGGCTCACAGCAACCTCTGCCTTCTGGGCTCAAGCAATTCTTCTGCCTCAGCCTCCCAAAGTGCTGGGATTACAGGCGTGAGCCACCATGCCCGGCCTGAAGCTGTTTTAAAATATATCTACAGAGGCCGGGCGCGGTGGCTCACGCCTGTAATCCCAGCACTTTGGGAGGCTGAGACGGGCGGATCACGAGGTCGGGAGATCGAGACCATCCTCGCTAACACGGTGAAACCCCGTCTCTACTAAAAATACAAAAAATTAGCTGGGCATGGTGGCAGGCACCTGTAGTCCCAGCTATTCAGGAGGCTGAGGCAGGAGAATGGTGTGAACCCAGGAGGCGGAGCTTGCAGAGAGCGGAGATCACGCCACTGCACTCCAGCCTGGGCGACAAAGCGAGACTCCGTCTCAAAAAAATATATATATATATGTATGTGTGTGTGTGTGTATGTGTATATGTGTGTGTATTTATATGTATATATATGTGTGTGTGTATATATATCCACAGATTCTTGGGCAGCCCCCTTTTAGTAGGTGGAGCCTAATTCTCCTTCACTTCAGTGTGGCTAGTTTTCGTAATTTGCCTTTAACCAATAGAATATGGGGCTGGGCACAGTGGCTCACACCTATAATCCCAGCACTTTGTGAGGCCAAGGCGGGCAGATTGCTTGAATCCAGGAGTTTGAGAGCAGCCTGGACAACATGATGAAACCCCATCACTACAAAAAATTAGCTGGGTGTGGTGGCATGCCCCTGTAGCCCCAGCTACTCTGGTGGGGGAGGTGGGAGGATCGCTTAGGCTGAGAGTTGGAGGCTACAGTGAGCTGTGATTGTGCCACTGCACTTCAGCCTGGGCAACTAACTGTGAGACCCTGTCGCAAAAACAAAATGCTTTTAAGCCAAGTATGGCATACAGCTGGCAGTCCCAGCTACTTTGTTTTTTATTGTTGTTGTTGTTGTTTTGAGACAGAGTTTCACTCTTGTTGCCCAGGCTGGAGTGCAATGGTGCCATCTCTCCTCACCACAACCTCTGCCTCCTGGGTTCAAGTGATTCTCCTGCCTCGGCCTCCCAAATAACTGGGATTGAAGGTGTCTGCTGCCACGCCCAGCTAATTTTTGTATTTTTAGTAGAGATGGGGTTTCACCATGTATGGCTGCGCCTGGCCATCCCGGCTAGTTTGGAGGCTGAAGCGGGAGGATGACTTGAGTGCAGGAAGTCCAGGCTGCGGTGAGTTATGATGGCACCCTGCACTCCAGCCTGGGCAACAAAGTGAGAGGGCACCTCTAAAAAAAAAAAAAAAAACCAACAGGCTGGGCGCAGTGGCTCACGCCTGTATTCCCAGCACTTTGGGAGGCTGAGGCAGGCGGATCACTTGAGGTCAGGAGTTCGAGAGAAGCCTAGCCAACATGGTGAAACCCCGTCTCTATTAAAAATACCAAAAAAAAAAATCAGCTGAGCATGGTGGTGAGCGCCTGTAGTCCCAGCTACTTGGGAGGCTGAGGCACGAGAATCACTTGAACCCAGGAGGTGGAGGTTGCAGTGAGCTGAGACTGCATCATTGCACTCCAGCCTGGGTGACAGAGTGAGACTTTGTCTCAAAAAATAAAAAAATAGGCCGGGCGTGGTGGCTCAAGCCTGTAATCCCAGCACTTTGGGAGGCCGAGATGGGTGGATCACGAGGTCAGGAGATCGAGAGACGATCCCGGCTAACACGGTGAAACCCCGTCTCTACTAAAAAATACAAAAAAATAGCCGGGCGAGGTGGCGGGCGCCTGTAGTCCCAGCTACTCGGGAGGCTGAGGCAGGAGAATGGCGTAAACCCGGGAGGCGGAGCTTGCAGTGAGCTGAGATCCGGCCACTGCACTCCAGCCTGGGTGACAGAGCAAGACTCCGTCTCAAAAAAAAAAAAAAATAAAATAAAATAAAATAAAAAATAAAAAATAAAAAAATAAAAAAATAAAAAAATAAGCCTTTTAATTGTAGTAAAATATACATTTACCATCTTAA